CTGACTATATCACTGACACATGTACAGAAAAAATAACAAACAACTTGTAGACATATCTCTCAAGACAAATTAATAAATGTGAGTTTTTTTCCCGTTGTCTCCTGACCATGGAGAGCAGAAAACCCAGGGTCCATTCCCATCCTGTACTACAGGAGAATAGGAACAACAGTAGGCCATTTGGTCCTTTCAGTGTGCTCCACCAACGAAAAAAGACATGGCTGATGTGACTGTTTCCTAAGCTTCACTTTCCTGTCTGCCCCTTGTAATCCTTGTCTTCCTTGTCTATCAAAAATCCATCTTGATTTGATTTGATTTGATTTATTTTAGTCACATGTACCTAAGTACAATGTAAAGCTTTATTTTGCGAGCAGTACAGGTAGTTCATAGGCGAACAAGGGCACACAGATCAAAGGTGCTTAGACAGAGCGAGGCATACAGGTTACAACTACACAGGAGGTACACAAAGCAAGATCAACCTTATTTGAAGTTAGTGTGTCCCTTCAGTGGTCTAATAATGACTGGGAAGAAGCTGTTGTTGAACCTGTTGATGCGCATGTTCAAACTTCTGTCTCTTCTGCCTAATGGAAAAGGTTGGAAGAGAGTATTACTGGGGTCGGAGGGATCTTTGATGATGTTGGCAGTCTTTCCACAGCTATGAGAAGTGTAAATGGAGTCCATGGATGGGAGGTTGACTTTTGTGATAGTCTGGCCTGTGCACACAACCTTCTGTAGTTTCTTACGGTCCTGGGCAGAGCAGTTGCCATACCAGGCTGCTGTGCACTCGGAAACTGTGCTTTCTATGGTGCATCTGTAAAAGTTGGTGAGGGTCCTTATGGACATGCTGAGTTTCCCAAGCTGCCTGACAAATAAGATGCGTTGTTAAGCCTTCCTGACCATTGCAACAGTCAGTTATCGTCACTCTTGGGAATGTGATGCTCTCCACCCTCTCCATCTCAGCTCTGTTGTTGAAGATGGGGGAGTGTCCTCCTCCTTTCTTCCTGAAGTTAATGATCTGTTCTTTTGTTTTGCTGATATTGAGAGAGGGGTTGTTATTGTTGTACCATGACACCAAGCCCTCTATCTCCTTTCTGTATTCTGACTTATCATTGTTTGATATCGGTCCCACGATGGTGTCGTCAGCAAACTTGTAGATAGCATTTGTTTGGAATTTGGCTACACAGTCGTGCATGTATAGGGAGTACAGTAGGGGCCTGAGAACGTATCTTTTGGGGGCTCCAGTGTTGAGGTTATTGTGAAGGAGGTACAGTTGTCTGTCTTCACTGATTGCGGTCTGTGGGTCAGGAAGCTGAGGATCTAGTTGCAGAGGATGGAACTGAGACCTAAGTCTTGGAGTTGAGATTAGTTTGGAAGGGATAATAGTGTTGAAGGCAGAACTGGAGTCGATGAGTAGAAGCCTGACGTATGTGTTCTTGTTATCCAGATGTTCCGGGGATGAGTATAGGGCTAGGGAAATGGATATGGACCTGTTATGTCAATAGGCAAATTGCAAGGGACCAAGGCAGGAGGGAGGGTCGAGTTGATGTAGGTTATGACCATCCTCTGGAAGCACTTCATGATTGTGGAGGTCAGAGCCATGGGTGGTAGTTATTAAGGGACGTTGCATGTGCTTTCATGGGTACGGGGATGATAGTGGTCTTCTTGAACAGGTGAGGACTTTGGCTTGTAGGAAGGAGAGGTTGAAGGTGTCAGCAAATACCTCCACCAGCTGGTCTGTGCAGTGTCTGAGTGCTTGGCCGGTGACACCATCTGGACCCGTTGTTTTCCTTGGGTTGACTCTGAGGAGGACCGATCTGATGGCTGCAGTGGTTATGGAGGGAACAGGTGCATCGGGGGTTGTCAGGCCAGATGACGCAGTGCCGCGGGCATTCTGCTTGGACCGAGCATAGAAAGCATTGAGCGCATCAGGGAGGGCTGTGTTTTTGTCCACTATCATTCTCTGCTTTATTTAGTATCCTGTTACATTGTGTAGGACTTGCCACAGGCGGTGGTCATCTGTAGGGTTTGTTTGGGCCTCTAACATGGTCTGGTACTGTCTCTTGGCATCTCTGATGTGTTTGCGGAGGTCATCTCGCTTTGTGTTGAATTAGCTTAAAGTCTAAATCTTCACTGCTTTATGGGGAAGAGAATTCACAAATTTTTCAGACTTCTGAGAGATAATATTTCTCTTCAAATCTGTCTTAAGGGGGGACTTCTTATTCTAAAATTGTCGTTCAGTCTTAAAGTCCCTCACAAAAAGAAACATCCTCCTGGTGTCCACCCTGCCAAATCCCCTCATGATCTTTGTATATTTCAGTGAAATCATCTCCAACTCTTTTAAATGGAGTTTAACTCTAACCCCTATTAAGTCTTTCCTCTAAGATGAGCTGTTCATCCCAGGAATGAGTCACAAACCTTCTCTGAACTGCTTGGAAAGGAATTATGTCTTTATTTCAGTAAGGAGCCTAAAATTGTACACAGCACTCCAGCTGTTGTATTACCAATGCCCTGTACAACTGCAGTAAAACTTCCAAACTTTTATATTTCCATTCCCGTGCAATCATTGAAAGCCTCGAATTTGTCTTTCCTACCCCTGTTTGTTGTACCAAAATGCAATACTCTGCATTTATCCAGATTGAATTCCTCCTACCATTTTTCAGCCCGTTGACCCATTTTAATCATGATACCTTTGTAAAGAAATCTTCTTCCTGTCTACTATGCCACCAATTTTAGTGTCATCCGCAAACTTACTGACCATGCCTTCTACCTTCTCATCCAAATCATTTATATAAATCACAAATAAAAGGCGATCCAGAACCAGTCCTTGTAGAACAGCACTGGTGACAGGTCCCCAGTCCGAAAAACAAACATCCACCACCACTCTGTGTTCTGCCATTCAGCCAATTATGTATCCATTTGGCAAGTGCACCCTTAATGCCATGTGACCTAACTCTACTAATTAGTCTACAATGCAGAACCTTATTGAAGGCTTTACCAAAGTCCAAGTAAACAACGTCTACTGCTCTGCCCGCATCAATCTTTTTGGTAACTTCCTCAAAAACCTCAAGTTTGTGAGATATGATTTTCCTCGCACAAAACCATGCTGACAAAACCTAATCAATTTTTGCCTCTCTAAATGTCCGTAAATCCTAATTTTTAAAATCACCTCTAATAATTTAGCCACAAATGAAGTCAGACTCACAAGTCTATAGTTGTGTCACATATAGTCAGAGTGGTTAAATAGGTGTTTGGCACACTTACCTTCATTACTCAGTCCTTTGAGTATAGGAGTTGGGAAGTCATGTTGAGGCTGTACAGGACATTGGTGAGGCCTCTTCTGGAATACTGTGTCCAGTTCTGGTCGTCCACTTATAGGAAGGATGTTATTAAGCTGGAGAGGGTTCAGAAGAGATTTACCAGGATGTTGCCAGGTATGGAAGATCTGAGTTATAAAGAAAGGCTGGATAGGCTGAGACTATTTTCACTGGAGCATAGGAGGCTGAGGGGCAACCTTATAGAAGTTTACAAAATAATGAGGGGTATAGATAGAGTTAATGGTAGTTGTCTTTACCCTAGGATGGGAATTTCAAGACGATGTGGCACATTTTTAAGGTGAGAGGAGAGAGATTTAAAAAAGACATGAGCAAATTTTTTTACACAGAGGGTGGAATGAACTTCCTGTGGAAGTAGTGGATGTGGGTACAATTACAATGTTTAAAAGACATTTAAAAAGTACATGAATAGGAAAGGTTTGGAGTGATATGGGCCAGGAGCAGGCAGGTGGGACTAGTTTAGCTTGGGATTATGTTTGGCATGGGCTGGTTGTACCCTTCCTAATCACTTACTGTACCTGCATACAAACATTTTATGTTTAATTTACCAGTGAGACCTAGTTCTAGTTATCCTGTAAGAGGAACCATCTCCTTACATCTACCACGTCAACACTGCTCAGGACCCTGTATGTTGCAATCATGTCATCTCAAGCTCAGCCTGTCCAACCTTTCTTTATAAGAGAACCCAGTCATTACAGGTATTATTCTAGTAAACCTTGTCTGAATTGTTTCCAATGAGTTTGCATCCTTCCTTAAATGAGGATACCCATACTGTACACAGTACTCTAAATGTGGTCTCATCAGTATCCTGTATAATCAAAGAATAACCTCTCTACTTGTCCCTTGCAAAAACAATAACATTCTGTCAGCTTTCCAAAATGCATGATGTACCTAAATATAAGCTTACGATCCCAGCTCACAGTATAACTGGACATGTCTAATCCCAGAATGAAATCTGGTTTAAAAGATCACATTTGTTTCTTCTAATTAATGTGATGGTCAGTTACTAAAACATGGTTACTCGAAACTGCAGTGTTTCTTTAACAATAGAACTGAAGTTTAATACACAAAACGAGAAACAAAAGCAAGATAGCTAAACATAGAACACAGTTTGAAAGATTTCAAGACAAAACAAAACCAAACAATAAAGGTTCATTCTGCTTTATAACACTATATGTTACAAAGACTCGGATATGGAGAAATTCATCCTATATATCAAATATTTAAGTTTGACATAACTGACTCTCCCCTGTTCTTTCCTGTGAACTGCTAAATCTTCTTTGATGAATAGTCACAAAACTGAGAGCTGAGACTTTCTCAGATTTTAATAACCTATAGGTTTCTCATCAAGCATTCCTGGTCTAGAAGTTCCACAAACTAAACTTTCATTTATATACCATCTTTTATATAAAGAAATTCCTGTGGGTGATTTCCCCAAAGTTTAACACTAAGACATGTGAGAAGGCATTAGGATAAATGGTCAAAGAAGTATATAGAAGTGTCTTAAAAGAAGAAAGATTAAGGCATTTCAGGAAGGCATTCCAATGGATAACACTAATGCAGTGCTAATGCTATGGTGAAGTAGTTAAAATTAGAAAAGTGAAAGAGGCTAGGATCAGATGAGTGAAAATGTTGTAAGCTTTAAAGTGCAGCTGAATTGTCCCATTTCAGGTCGGTGTACGATGGAGAGGAACACTGGCGGTTCATGGAGAAGCTGGAGGCCCGGATTAGGAACCATGACCGGGAGATTGAGAAAATGTGCAACTTCCATTTCCAGGGATTTGTAGACTCTATCACAGAGCTGCTGAAAGTGCGGGGAGAAGCACAGAAGCTGAAGGTATGTTGCACTTTCCCCTTCTTGTCTTGTTGTGGTACTGCCACATTGTGAAACAAGGAGGTTCACTCGACTCATACCTGTGATGAAGGACTTATCTTGATGAGGAATGGTTGAACAGGTTGGGCTGAATCCCATTGCAGTTGAGAAGAATGATGCAGAGTCATAGAGTCATAGAGCTGTACAACTTGGAAACAGACCCTTTGGTCCAAATTGTCCATGTTGACCAGATATTCCAAATTAATCTAGTCCCATTTGCCAGCATTTGGACCAATCCCTCTAAGCCCTTCCTATTCATATACTCATCTAGATGCCTTTTAAATGTTGTAATTGTACCAGCCTCCACCATTTCCTCTGGCAGTTCATTCCTTACACGCACTACTGTCTGTGTGAAAATGTTATCCGTTAGGTCCCTTTTAAATCTTACCCCTCTCACCTTAAACCTATGCCCTCTAATTTTGGACTCCCTCAACTGGGGAAAAGACCTTGTCCATTCACCCTATCAATTTTATAAACCTTTATATGGTCACCCCTCAGCCTCCAATGCTCCAGGGAAAATAGCCCCAGCCTACTCAGCCTGTCCCTATAGCTCAAACCTTCCAAACCTGGCAACATCCTTGTAAATCTTTCTTATTTATTTGAAACACAAAATCTTGAGGAAACTTGATGCCGGATCCTGGGAGTGACTTCTTGGGAATGACTAGAGCTCAGAGAGACAGTTTAAGACAGAGATGAGGAGAATTTTTTTTTCTTGAGAGTCATTCATCTGTAGAATTCTCTTTAGCAGAGAGCAGTGGAGGCTGGGTCAGTGCATATTTTTAAGACAGCTTTGGATAGATTCTTGATTGAAAAGGGAGCCCAAGGTTATATGGGGTAGTCAGGAAAGTAGAGTTAAGGCTACAGTCAGATCACTAAGACTTTATCATATGATATGTCTGTCTGTATGAAACTGATTACATGGGAGGCATCCATGTCAAATCCATATTAATTCAGTAAAAGAATGAACTGACTATGAGCCTCATCCTCTTCACTCTCATCGTTGTCACACTGTGGTGAGACTGTAGACCTAGCTGCCACAGTGAAACCCACAAGAGGGTGAAAAGAGAATAGTGATATTTTGGCAAGGTCGGAAGGACAAGTGGAATGAAAGGAGGCTTGTGTGAAGTACAAACACCAGCAAGAGCCAAATCAGAGAGCAGAATACTGCAGATGCTGAAAGTCTGAAATAAGTACAGAAAATGCTGTGAAGGTTGAGCCGGTTGGGCAGTATTTGTGAAGAGAGAAACAGAGTTAATGGTTTAGGTCGATGACCTTTCATCAAAACGGAAAGAAGTCTGAGATGGATTAAGCTGTGAGCTGCATTTTAATGTGACAAGGACAAAAGGATGATCTGTGATAGTGCAGACAAATTGTATTAAATAGTCTGTTTCTGTTTTACAAGGTGATATTCTTGTCAGCAGAAATAATTGATTATTGATAACGAGCTGTTAATAATGCGATGATTTGGTCAATTAGTGTGAGGTTTAGTGACAGAGGTTTTGATCTCCATTCATTCCAGTCAATGACTGAAGATATTTTGTGTCCTACTTGCTTTCCTCAAGATGTATCTTTCACCTGAACTTGGGCTGATTCCTAATTTGGCATCCTGGTATCTCTTTTTTAAAATGTCTCAACTCTCCTTGGATGATCTTAATAAACCATTGGGTTGTACTGACAATGTATTCATTCCAGTAACCCTCATTGTTTTAGCATTAAATGCTTTAAATGTACTACTTTTTTTTTTCAAACAATGTTTTAAAATGAGATGTTTCATTTTCTACATTTCAGATTCAGGTGACAGACACCAACAACAAGCTGCAGGAATCAGGGAGAGAGGTGATTTCTTTTCCATCATCTTTATTTCTCTTTCCCCTTTGCTGTTTGCTTCATCACAGCAGTGACTGTACTTCCAAATTGCCTCTGAAACACTGTAGTGCCCTAAAATTGTTCATAAATGCATACTTTTTAATGCGTAAATCTTTTTTTTTCCTACTGCCAATGTTCTTAAATCTCACTAACCACTACCTTGTGCTGACCTATCAGTTTATCTTTGTTGCCACATCTCAATGGAAATGTACTCCAATTGCATTCTGGGTCAAAGCCTTCCAGGTAACTATGAGTTAATCAGAAAGTCAGGGTGGCACGTTGGCTCAGTGGGTAGCACTGCTGCCTCACAGTACCAGGGACCTGGGTTTGATTACACTCTCAGGCGACTGTCTGTGTGGAGTTTGCATATTCTCCATGTATCTGCGGGGGTTTTCTCCGGGTGCTCTGGTTTGCTCCCACAGACCAAAGATGTGCAGGTTGGTGGATTGGCCATGCTAAATTGCCCATAGTGTCCAAGGATGTGCAGGCTAGGTGGATTAGTCATGGGAAATACAGGGATAGTGTCTGGGTAGGATGCTCTTTGGAAGGTCGGTGTGGACTTGATGGGCTGCATGGCTTGCTTCCACACTGTAGGGATTCTATGAGTACACCTAGGCCAGGGATGATATATTGTGATTTCTGTTGATTTTAGCTGGACCCAATCAGGCAGTGGTACTTTTTGGGCATTTGTGAATTCTGGATAGAAAAACCATCTGTTTGTGCCATGGCACTTCATAAAATGTGCATAAAACCAGGACAAGAAATCTTAGGCTGAGAAGCTGCCTCTGTTCGCTTGTTGGAAGGCTGTTGTGCATGTGGGTGGTGGCCACTTGGATGACACAAAGAAAATTGTGTCAGTGAGGTGGGATGGTAAGAATCACTGAGACTAAAAATAAATGGACTGCTTGGTTAATGAAGACTGACAGACTGATTCATGAAAATGTAGTCACCAAATTGTTCCTTTTCAACATGTGCCTCTGCAGCTACTCACTGAAATGGAGGAACTGAAGAAGTGTCGTTCACAGCAAAGGAACATAGCAGCCACAGTGGACCAACTGACACTCTGTCTACCAGGTACAAAACAGTTATAGTAAGGCAAGGTTCCTGCAGGAGATACCAGTTTTAATGGTAATTGTTACAGCATCTTGAGTCAGTAGAATGGTTTTGAATGGACAAAATGCAACAACAAAAAATTAAAGTGGAGGGGTATGACAGAGATTGTATGAAGATAGAAATGTAGAGCAACAGGGAAGACCATTACCGTCCATATGAACGGTTTCCATCTGGGGAGCACCATATCCCGAAGAGAGCACACAAATCCATCAAATCTTTATCCATGTACTTATTAAACTGGCTTTTGATTCAGCTGCTTCTGCTTCCCTCAGACAGTCCAGTCCAGGAAGGAATTGACATCTTCAGCCACAGTATTTTAATCTTACTTGGTGTGGGAGTTTGGCAAATGCCATACTTCAGAAAGTTGTCAAAAAAGTACCAGGAGGGAGAAGATGAGATTTTTTGTCTGCAAATCAAGCTGCAGCCTAAGTGAAGTTCCATAGAGGAAGCTGAATCTTTATCAACTTTCAAGCGAGAATTAAAACTATATTTATAATGGAAAAAAAACTGTTGGGCTATGCAGCAAGAAGAGGAAACGGGGACTAATTGGATGGCTCTTTCAGAGGCCCAGCAACACCTTGCATTTCATAGCGCCTTTAACATAGAGGATCTCAGGCATATTATGATAAAATATTCATACTGAGTCTCGGAAGGGTCACTGGACCCGAAATGTTAACTCCAATTTTCTTGTCACAGATGCTGCCAGACCTGCTGAGCTTTTCCAGCAACTTCTGTTTTTGCCCACGTCTGGTTAGTTCAGATGGATATAAAAGACACACATGACAATGTTGGAAATAGAACAAGGTGTCCTGGCCAAAGTTCTTCCCTGAATCACAGCACCAAAAACTGGAAATTGCATCATTGCAGTTTGTGGGATCTTCATGTGCGTAAATTGGCTACTGTATTTACCGATTCTGTAACAGTGTCTGTGCTTTGAAGAAATTTACACTGTCAAGCAGTTTGGCATGTTTCTTATTGGTATTATAACACAATGTGTAAATGCAATTAGTTCTTTCTGATTGATATTCTACTATTGGCTTTGCCCCATTTGAATTCCAAGAACTCCATGCCAATTATGCTTCATCCCAAATGTTGAACGAGAAATGCAGGTAGCGAATTGCAAAACATGCTCACCATTGATACACATTGTAAAACCGTGATTTAAATAGATTTAACAGCACTGACTATTGAAGTTTCACCCACTCCAAGTGCTCATACTTCAAAACAAGTTTACCACATGGTGCTGAAAGATATGTGTTGCCGAAACATTTGGTCATGCACTCACCACATATGCAAGAATGCAAATTTTCAAATGATCGCAACAATTTCCATGACTGGAAAAAAGACTGCTGTTTGGTTAACAACCTTTAATGCACACATGGTTAGTGGCCTGGTCACAATCCATTTATAATGGTGAAATTAAACGTTCATCATAGACCTTATTTGATCAAGTTGGTCGGGAGAAACTTTCCCCTGGTAGAAAGGCCGTAGATTCAAATCTCTTGGAACAAAGGTAGAAAGTGGATGACTTTTCTTTTAAAACAAAGCAGTATACTTCTTAAGAGATAGTAGGAACTGCAGATGCTGGAGAATCTGAGATAACAAGGTGTAGAGCTGGATGAACACAGCAGGCCAAGCAGCATCAGAGGAGCAGGAAAGCTGACATTTCGGACCTAGACCCTTCTTCAGAAATGGGGGAGTAGAAGGGGATTCTGAAATAAATAGGGAGAGAGGGGGAGGTGGATAGAAGATGGATAGAGGAGAAGATAGGTGGAGAGGAGACAGACGGGTGAAAGAGGTGGGGATGGAGCCAGTAAAGGTGAGTGTAGGTGGGGAGTTAGGGAGGGGATCGGTCAGTCCAGGGAGGACGGACAGGTCAAGGAGGCAGGATGAAGCTAGAATACTGCTCACGCTTGGACGTTGAATAGTTTTTCCGCCGCCTCCGCCTCCATGCTTACTTCTTTAACCATGAGCCTAACCCTCCCCCTACTGACCCCTTCTCCCACCTCCAACACACCCCCTCCTCCTGGACTCCACCCCAAGGCCTCCTACCCTCCCTCGACCTCTGCATCTCCAACTGCCGTCAAGACATCAATCGCCTCAACCTCTCCACCCCCCTCCCGCACGGAACGTGCAGCCCTCCACTCCAATCCCAACCTCACCACAAAATCCGCGGACAGGGGAGGCGCAGTTGTAGTATGGCGCACTGACCTCCACATCGCCGAGGCCAGGCGCCAACTCTCTGACACCACTTCCTACCGGCCCCTTGATCATGACCCCACCCCCGACCATCAAACCATCATCTCCCAAACCATCCACAACCTCATCACCTCAGGTGACCTCTCACCCACAGCCTCCAACCTCATCGCTCCCCAATCCCGCACTGCCTGCTTCTATATCCTTCCCAAAATCCACAAACCTGACTGCCCTCGTCGACCCATTGTCTCCGCCTGCTCCTGCCCCGCCAAACTTATCTCCACCTATCTGGACTCCATTTTCTTCCCCTTGGTGTCCAGGAACTCCCTACCTACATTCGTGACACCACCCACGCCCTCCACCTCCTCCAAAACTTCCAATTCCTTGGTCCCCAACACCTCATCTTTACCATGGACGTCCAGTCCCTATACACCTGCATTCCCCATGCAGGTGGCCTAAAGGCCTTCCGCTTCCTCCTGTCCCGCAGGCCCGACCATTCCCCCTCCACTGACACCCTCATCCGCTTAGCCGAACTCGTCCTCACTCTCAACAACTTCTCTTTCAATTCCTCCCACTTTCTACAGACAAAGGGGGTGGCCATGGGTACCCGCATGGGCCCAAGCTATGCCTGCCTCTTTGTAGGTTACGTGGAACAATCCCTCTTCTGTACCTACACTGGCCCTAAACCCCACCTCTTCCTCCGTTACATTGATGACTGTATCGGTGCCGCCTCGTGCTCGCACGAGGAGCTCGAACAGTTTATCCACTTCACCAACACCTTCCACCCCAACCTTAAGTTCACCTGGACAATCTCTGATACCTCTCTCTCCTTCCTGGACCTCTCTGTTTCCATCTCTGGCAACCACCTGGAAACCGATATCCATTTCAAGCCCACCGACTCCCACAGCTACCTAGGATACACCTCCTCCCACCCACCTTCCTGCAAAAATGCCATCCCCTGTTCCCAATTCCTTCGCCTCCGCCGCATCCGCTCCCAGGATGAGGCATTCCACTCCCGAACATCTCAGATGTCCTCGTTGTTCAAGGACCACAACTCCACTCCCCCTCCCCCCCCACCCCAGTGGTCGAGAACGCCCTTGACCGCGTCTCCTGTATTTCCCACAACTCTTCCCTCACACCCCCTCCCCGCAATAACAACCAAAACAGAATTCCCCTCATCCTCACGTACCACCCCACCAACTTCCGGATCCAACGCATCAACCTCCAACACTTCCGCCATCTGCAATCCGACCCCACCACCAAAGACATTTTTCCCTCCCCACCCTTATCTGCTTTCCGGAAGGACTACTGTCTCCGGGACTCCCTTGTCCGGTCCACACTCCCCTCCAACCCCACCACACCCGGCACTTTTCCCTGCAACCGCAGGTAGTGCTACACCTGTCCCTTCACCTCCCCCCTCACCCCCATCCTAGGCCCCAAGAAGACTTTCCACATCAAGCAGATGTTCACCTGCACATCTGCTAATGTGGTATACTGTATCCGCTGTTCCCATTGTGGCCTCCTCTACATCGGGGAAACCAAGTGGAGGCTTGGGGACCACTTTGCAGAACACCTATGCTTGGTTTGCACTAAACAACTGCACCTCCCAGTCGCGAACCATTTCAACTCCCCCTCCCATTCCTCAGACGACATGTCCATCCTGGGCCTCCTGCAGTGCCACAACGATGCCACCCGAAGGTTGCAGGAACAGCAACTCATATTCCGCTTGGGAACCCTGCAGCCCAATGGTATCAATGTGGATTTCACAAGCTTCAAAATCTCCCCTCCCCCCACCGCATCCCAAAACCAGTCCAGCTCGTCCCCGCCTCCCTAACCTGTCCTTCCTCCCACCTATCCCCTCCTCCCACTTCAAGCCCCACCCCCATCTCCAACCTACTAACCTCATCCCACCCCCTTAACCTGTCCGTCCTCCCTGGACTGACCTACCCCCTCCCCACCTACACTCACCTTTACTGGCTCCAGCCTCGCCTCTTTGACCTGTCTGTCTCCTCTCCACCTATCTTCTCCTCTATCCATCTTCTATCTGCCTCCCCCTCTCTCCCTATTTATTTCAGAACCCCCTTCCCCTTCCCTATTTCTGAAGAAGGGTCTAGGCCTGAAATGTCAGCTTTCCTGCTCCTCTGATGCTGCTTGGCCTGCTGTGTTCATCCAGCTCTACACCTTGTTATCTCTAATATACTTCTTAAAACTTCTTTGACCTGAACTCATTTTGGTTGCACATGCTGGATTTGAGTACATCTTCACCCTTGCTTATCTTTTTCAAACCGTATTCTCATTTCTCCTTCAAAATCCCTCTCTTCCATCAACATAACCCATTCCACTTTTCTGTTCTTGGGTGCTGTGCCCTCCCCATTTACCCCAAGCAACCCTTGAGAATTCCTTGATTTACCTTTTCCCTTGCCGCCTGATAACACATGATTCTCTTCGATTCACTTACAGCCTCCCTCTGTCTCACAGCATCCTGTGAAAGGCTCAACCATGTACTCAGCACTGGTTTGTTATAAGCAGCAACCTCTATTGTCCTATCCCACTCCTTTGTTAACCTTTCTGCACATTGCACCGTTTGGTGAATAATCTTACCATTCTTCTTCCTTATCAACTTGCTGTTTCCACTTTAACCCTGTGGACTCTGCTTTTACCACCCCTCCATAAATCTCCCTCCAGAAAGACCGTTCACTTGTGAACAAAGCCCTTGCCTTCCATGAACTTATTATGGGTGATTGCATTGGCTTCATGGCCTAAATGGAAAGATTGCTAAGGGCTGATTAAGTCACCCTGTCTGGCTATGTCTTCCACAACTTGTCCCTTCAAATTTAACTTTGAGTATTGATGATAAAGAAATTGGTTGAACTTCTAGACTTGCACTCATTAATTTGCAAGAATACCTACTTAAGGCAAGTTTAGTTGTTCTTTCTAGGCCAATTGCAATGACCCAGCTGCAGCTGTGATTTGAGATCCGCACGTTCGGCACAGATTAATGTGGGCTATTACAACTCGGCCAGAAAGAATCTTTACAATAGAGTCAAGGTGATGGGGTACTGGAAGGACCAATACATTAAAATAACCAGTCGGATTGGGCTGAAAGAAAATGTCAAGGTATAATTTATTAATGAGTGTCTACAGGAGCATTGACGCATCTCCAGCTTTGATGTCAGTATAATTTCCTGAATGATTGCAAGTGATTTGTGATGAAATTAGCAGAACCATTTATTGAAGGGTATGAGGAGATGAGTGGATGAGAAGACATCTGAATGCATTGTTTTGTGAAGAAAATTGCCATAGTTTTTTGTTTTCAAGCTACTTATGAATATGTTGATTTATAGCAGTGTGAATTTAATGAGCTTCATCCATCTTGGACTACCTACCTGTCATTTGCTGTGAAAAATATAGCAATGAAAATGTAGTTAGTGAAGTAGAATTCTTCCACTCATAAAGAAGCATCCCAGGGAACCTCTCACTGCTTTGCAGAGCAGTTACTATTGTACTGTCTGCATAACGGTGGTCATTCAAGTCCAGAGAAGTTCTGTGAGCAGTGGATATTGGATGGAGCTGGGATCTTGGTCAAACCGTCTTTGCTTTTCTAGGAGTTGCATCACACCTTATCCAGAGACCAGAGCACTTCCAGCTAGGTCAAAAAGGCACAGTTACTGGAAGGCCGAAACAAATTTCTATTTGAAAGCCTTTGTTTGGCTCATTATAATTATGTTTGGAATCACTTCAGTGGTGATTGGAAGTCTTGATAATTGCTATGTTTTTTTTTTAGTGTTCAAATAAATCCTGATAATTACTTAGTTGTAAGTGTGAGCATCTTTGTTCTGTGATACAGAACTAGTTTCAGATTGTGTTTATGAGGTCCCTGTAACCTTTTCCTTTGGGAATATAGTTACAGAGATAACCTACCTGCTAAATGCCACTGTTGCCAAATTAATCTTCCTTGGGCAGGCCGTAAACTTTATTTTCTTAGAATTGAGTTGGTTATGAAATGGGATGTTGGGAATGAGAAGTTAAGACTGAGCTGTCAATTGATTACAGATTTGGTAATTGATTCTCAACCTGCACCATAATCTTGACAACTGGTAAATGAACCTGACTCCTCATTACAGCTGAGAGAGACAGATCTTCATGAGGAGATTTCACCTGGACCATCTCTAATACCTCTCTCTCCTTCCGGGACCCCCCTGTCTCCATCTCGGGCAACCACCCAGAAACCGATATCCATTTCAAGCCCATCGACTCCCACAGCTACCTAGAATACACCTCCTCCCACCCACCTTCCTGCAAAAATGCCATCCCCTATTCCCAATTCCTTCGCCTCCGCCGCATCTGCTCCCAGGATGAGGCATTCCACTCCCGTACATCTCAGTTGTCCTCGTTTTTCAAGGACCGCAACTTCCCCCCCTCAGTGGTCGAGAACGCCCTCAACCGTGTCTCCCACATTTCCCGCAACTCATCCCTCACACCCTGTCTCCGCAATAAGAACCAAAAAAGAATACCCCTCGTCCTCACGTACCACCCCACCAACCTCCGGATCCAACCCATCATCCTCCGACACTTCTGCCATCTGCAATCCGACCCCACCACCAAAGACATCTTTCCCTCCCCACCCTTATCTGCTTTCCGGAGGGACAACTCTCTCCGTGACTCCCTTGTCCGCTCCACACTCCCCTCCAGCTCCACCACACCCGGCACTTTTCCCTGCAACCGCAGGAAGTGCTACACCTGCCCCCATACCTCCTCCCTCACCCCCATCCCAGGCCCCAAGAAGACTTTCCACATCAAGCAGATGTTCACCTGCACATCTGCCAATGTGGTATACTGCATCCGCTGTACCCGTTGTGGCCTCCTCTACATCGGGGAAACCAAGCGGAGGCTCGGGGACCGCTTTGCAGAACACCTACGCTCGGTTCGCAATAAACAACTGCACCTCCCAGTCGCGAACCATTTCAACTCCCCCTCCCATTGCTCAGGCGACATGTCCATCCTGGGCCTCCTGCAGTGCCACAACGATGTCACCCGAAGGTTGCAGGAACAGCAACTCATATTCCTCTTGGGAACCCTGCAGCCCAATGGTATCAATGTGGATTTCACGAGTTTCATAATGTCCCCTCCCCCAACCGCATCCCAAAACCAGTCCAGCTCCTCCCCGCCTCCCTAACCTGTTCTTCCTCCCACCTATACCCTCCTCCCACCTCGAGCTGCACCCCCATCTCCTACCTACTAACCTCATCCCGCCCCCTTGACCTGTCCTTCCTCCCTGGACTGACCTATCCCCTCCCTAACTCCCCACCTACACTCACCTTTCATGGCTCCATCCCCGCCTCTTCGACCTGTCTGTTTCCTCTCCACCTATCCTCTCCTCTATCCATCTTCTATCTGCCTCCCCCTCTCTCCCTATTTATTTCAGAACCCCCTTCCCCTCCCCCATTTCTGATGAAGGGTCTAGGCCCGAAACGTCAGCCTTTCTGCTCCTATGATGCTGCTTGGCCTGCTATGTTCATCCAGCTCTGCACCTTGTTGTCTCGATCTTCATTGGGAGCTTGGACTTTTTCCATTTTACTTGAGTTCTCTCCATGAGCCAAGGCTGTCTCCTGTAGGGTAATTGTAATGAAATAAACAACAGAGGAAACCTCTCACTGCAATACATGAGTAGCTGGTGGTTTTAGCAAAGTTGATGGACACACTTGGCGTGAAGGCGCAAGTTAGAGTTTCTGCATAACATGGTTACAGATTTCATGCCCTGCATTTGTTTAAGATCAGACAATTTCAGGTTGGGGATAACAAAATCTGAGTAAATTAGGTCTGGGCAATAAATGCTGGCCTAGCCAGCAAAGCCCATATTCTAGGAATGAACAGAAAAAAGAATCTTGGAAGCCCTTGAGTATGGTGATTGACATCTGTTTGTTTTGACATCCACTGACTGGAGGAATAAAACGTAAGTGTAATAAAAGTCATATATATTTGTTATTTCTGCATATCTGTTCTGATGCGTGCAAGATGAAAACCTCTGACAGTATGTCTTTTCTTTCATCTGTACGATATTTAGTGTTAGAGTGAAATAAAAGTGTAAGTATTGAAACAGTTAATGAAAGGAGTATTGAAAGAAAGTGGGATCTCATAATAACCAAAATAATTGCATGGCAAACTACTTATTTCAATGTCTGACCTGTATCTTTTTCTTTCAGTACTGGAGATGTACAGTAAATTACGGGAGCAACTGAAGACTAAAAGGTAAATTGCAACCTTGACTTAGATTGTCTGGTGACTGTAAACACTGGTTATCAGAGATGTCCAATTCACCTTCAGCTCTACCTATGTTATGCACTTACAGGTTTACTCGCACAGCAATGTGTTTGTGGAGTTCTAATTACAATTAAATGAGGGTGAAGTAGAAGCAGAGAGTGCATCCAAGAGGATAAAAATAGAAAATTTTCCGCGAGGATTTGTGGTAGGATATGAAGGTTTGCAGGAAATCTAACCTCTGAGTCAAGTGGGATTCACGACTTCAGAGATGTGAAGCATGTTGGGTAATGTAGGGCAGGCTGATCAAATGGTTTTGAATTATTTCGTCCAGGAATTTATTTTTGCTGATCTTTGAAGTTCAAAAGAGTATAAAAATAGAACATGCCTCATCCGTGCAAGATTCATCATTGTGTGACTAGCTGGTGTTGCAGTGGTTCAAAGTCAATTAATTAAATAATAAATTATAGTGACTTGCAAACACAAAAATGCTGTAGCTAAAGCTGGGTGATTGCAATCAGCAGGCAAAAGTGGAAATTTTTGTTTTATTACTCTCAGGATATGCGAGTTGCTGACAGGTCCAGTAGTTGCCTATCCCCATTTACCCTTCAGACAGGGTTGATGGACTGTCATCTTTAACCATTCTGTGTGTTGAAGATATTTCACAATACTGTTAGCATTCTGTGTGTTTATTCCTGTCAAGGTGAAGGAAGAATGATGTGTGACTATTTTCCAAAGTTTTGAGTTGAAGGTGTTTCTATGCATTTTCTGTTCTCAACTTTCCAGGTGGTGGAGCTCCCAGGTTGGGAATGTGGTACTAAAGACATCTTGGTGAAGTGCTGCAGACACTTCATATTGCAGTCATTGAAGTTTTCTTCCTTATCCACTAACTTCAGTTTTATTTGAATTGATTGGTGCCACACTCAGTTTCATATTACCTTGATATTAAGGGTGACTTGGTTGGATCCTTGCACCTGCCCCCATTTGTTGGTGAAGACAATCTTCACCAGTTTCATGTCATAGTTTGAATATTTGGTTTGCAGACGATTGTTTCTTCTGGTTTTATCCTTTCTCTTTGTAATTGTAAGTTGCCACTTAAACCTACTTCACTTTATAGCTTGGTGACAAATTTTGTTCACCAATGCTCCTAGAGAGGTTGGTTTTGCTATGCTAATTGCACTGTAAAATGCACTTTGTTGTTTTATTAATGTCCCATAGTCTTCTGAAAGTACAGAGTCACCACCTCTTTCCCTCTTTAGAACACTTGATTCATTTCATGGCTGTTCAGCTTTAAGCTAATTTTTGACATCAGTGTGGTGGGTTTGTAGTGAAATTTGCAGTTGATTAGCTGGAAATTCTGCGCACAATACATTTTCCAAAACCCAAGTGCTTTTCATTATCCAACATCTGGAAAAATGATTTTCTGTGTATTGGAATCTGATGGATGTTGCATCGTAGAGACCTATGCAAGGAGCTAAATATTGCTCTGGGGCCTCTGAATGCATTTCTTTGTTTCAGCAGCAATAACTAGATGAAGTGCCAAGGTCCATTGTGCTGGACATGACCAATGTCAAAATATAGCACAATGAGAGATAAATTAAATAGGGATATAATGTACTGGGACATTCTTACTTCAGACCAGAGGAGACAAAACATGATGGAGGTGTTCAAAATTATGAAGGGTTTTGATAGCGTAAATAAGGGAATAATGTTTTCAGTGGTGGGAGAGTTCGGAACCGAGGAGACAAATTTATTATACAGGGGTAGTCAGTACAAAAGCCAGAAGAGAGATGAAGAGATTTCTCTTACACAAAAAGTGTTGCTGATCTGGAGTCAGTGTCTGAAAAGGTGGTAGAAGCAGTTTCAACCATAACTTTAGGGAACATCTTTAACATAATAAAATGCCTAAAGTGCTTCTTAGAGGGTTATGGGACAATAAAATTTAAGACTGAACTTTATAGATCAAAAACCTGCTCCAAAGCTAGGATTTTAAAGAGCTCTTTAATTTTCTTGAATGGGGGAATTTGTAAGGTTGTCTGGAATGAGCAGGCAAGTGGGGACTAATTGGGTAAAGTACAATGTGTCCAATGCTTTCCTTATACATTCTATGATCCTGTGTGTTGTAGACTAGAGGAGGGAGATGTTTGAGTTCTGTGTTTAAGAACTTCTCTGCAAGAATGAGTTAGAATGGAATTCTTTATTGCAGAACACTGGTTGCGATGGTGGGGGGAAGGTGATGGCCTAGTGGTGTTATTGCTGGACTGTTAATCCAAAGACTCAGATAATGTTCCAGGTACCTGGGTTCGAATCCTGCCATGGCAGATGGTGGAATTTGAATTCAATAAAAATGTGTGGAATTAAGGATCTGATGATGACCATGAATCCATTGTCGATTGTTGGAAAAACCCATCTGCTTGGCTTGTGTCCTTTAGAGAAGGAAACTGCCATCCTTACCTGGTCTGGCCTACTTGTGACTCCAGACCCACAGCAATGGGGTTGACTGTGAACTGCCCTCTGGGCAATAAATGCTGCCCAGCCAGTGACTCCCTCATCCCATTAATGAATAAAGGAAATAAAAACACTATTCAACCACATTGCTGTGGGTCTGGAGTCAAATGTAGGCCAGACCATGAGTCACATGTAGGCCAGTCCAGGTAAGGATGGCAATTTCCTTCCCTCAAGGACATTAGTGAACCAGGTGGGGTTTTCCGACAGTCGGTAATGGATTCACGGTCATCATTTGATTCTTAATTCCAGATGTTTATTGAATTCAAATTCCACCATCTGCCAAGGTGGGATTTGAATCCAGGTCCCCAGAATGTTATCCGGGTCTCTGGATTAATAGCCCAGTGATAATATCACTAGGCCATTTCCTCTTTGATGATTCTATGTGTGAGAAAAGGTCCAGTCTAGTAGAGCCCCTGAATTAAGGAAAAGCATATCAGAGGAGGAGCCACCAACTACAGCAAAAAAGAAATGAATTATACCTATTCAATGAAATGTGTGGTTTTGCTAATGAAGAACTCCATTGCCAATGAAGAGTATGGTTTTCACGCAGTGTATGGTGCGCATATGGAATGAGCTGCCAGACGAGGTGATGGAGGCTGGTACAATTGCAACATTTAAAAGGCATTTGGATGGGTATATGAGTAGAAAGGGTTTAGAAGGATATGGGCCAAATGCTGGCAAATGGGATTGGATAATATAGGATATCTGGTCAGCATGGTTGAGTTAGACTGAATGGTCTATTTCTGTGCTATACATTTCTATGACTCCCAAACAGTGGGGAGAGAAATATAATTTCTAATTCTTTCCATTTTTGCTGTAGAAACCCGGTTACTGGATAATGGTTAATCATGTAGCATTAACTACAGATTGTAGGTGAGATTCAGAGAAATCATAAGGCCACTCTGCAATTTGTGGTTTCTGTGATTATAGCAGCCTGCTGTCTCTGTGTAATGCAAGTTGTGTGTTTTACACATATTAAAATATGATTTATTTTAGAGTTTGAATTTTGAAAAAGTAGCATAGGGGTTTTGGTCTGTGGTATGAGTGGGTTTATTGATGAACTTGTCAGTATTTCTAGAACCACAAGGTTAGTTTTACATAAGTATGAGAGAAGGAGCCCCTGAGGTGATAGTTGGCATTTGTTTGTATTTTGAGAGTTTTTGGAGTCGACAGTGTAAACAAATATTAGCTTGCTTTCAGTTTAGAAGGAGCAAGATTTTATTTTTGCTTGAGGCAAAAAGCCATAGTTTGGAAACAGTTGTGTTCAGTTCACAGAGTTCCTGGTGGAAATTAGGTGTATGAAACAGTTCTGCTAAAGAACGTGGTAGTTCAGAACGATTAGGAAATAGGCTACCTCATTGTAAGGGTCTGTATTGAGCTTTCCAGATCAGAAGTGTTTGGTTAGAACCCTGAAGGGGTTATTTGAAACTGAGAAAGATTAATTCAGTGACGAGGTTATCAAATTCCTTGAGGTACTCCAGGAAGAGGTCATCGAACTCTCAAGACCAGGAATTGAAAGGAACAGTTAATAACTGTAGAAACAATAGAGATGTGATAAGGAAGGGAATGTGCTCTGGTATTTGAGTATTGTAATGTGATGATGTTGGGGTAAATGCGGTTGTATTTTACCATGTATTTCAAAAGATTTATTTTGCCTAGTATACTCTGCTTCATTGTTAAAACTAAATCTACAGCATTGCATGCATGTGTTTCAGTGAAAGACCACCTCAACAAATAGCTTAACTTTACGGGTATGTTATGAAACTAATCTATGAAAGGACATTATCAAAAACAGGTGACCAAAAGCTTGATCAAAGAGAGAGGTTTTTGAGCAGGGACAGAGAGAGAAGTGAAGAGGTTTTAGGAGGAAATTTCAGAGTCAAGGTGACTGAAGGCACAACAACCAGTAGCAGAGTAATATGAACATTCTAATTAGGAGCAGAAGCAGCCTGGTCAGTCCCTTGAGTCTGCTCTGCTATTAAATAACATCAAGACCGGTCTGTTCATACTTGGAATTCCACATTCCCACCTATGATTGCCTTATATAGCCTGAATCCATCTACCTCCAGCTTTAAAATATTCAGTGACCTTGCTTCCTCCGCCACCTCCATCTTATGATGAGAGTTCCAAAATATTACAGCCTTCTGAGAGAAAATATTTTTCCTCATCTCTATCCTGTGTGAATGACCTCTAATTTTTGTACACTGTCCCCTCGTTCTGGACTCCCTCACAAGAGGAAACATTCTTTCCATATCCACCTTGTCAAGACCATTCAGGATCCTATAAATTTCAACCAAATAATCTTCACACTTCGAAACATCAGCGAAGTCTGTTCAACTTTGCCTCCTAAGTCAACCCACTCATTGCAGGTATCAACCTGGTAAACCTCTGCTGAACCACCTCCAACACTTTTACATCCTTCATTAAATAAGAAGACCACAACTGCATTCAGTATTCAAGATGTGGTCCCACCAATGTCTTGT